AGAACTTGAACCTTCATACCATTGCAATGGTTTTTAGCATCCCATGAACTTTTACGCTCAGCAAGATCAAGAGGAACGGTAAAAGGAATAGTAGAGCTATCAACTGCAGCAACACATGTTGGAAAGTTATCGAACTCCTTGTCACAGGGAGAATATTGTTTTGGAATGAATTCAGCAATGAAAATTGGGAACATCCTGTTTGTTGTTTTGTTAATGATTTTGCTGAGGTAACTCTGTTTCAAACTAACAATTCCTGACATTTTTTGCAATGGAAGATAAGTGCAATAGTAAGTTAATGTTAGGAATAACGCATCTAATGGATCACAACCGTTTTTCCGACCGCGTCTGGATGAAAACTCATGCTCGCGAACAACATCAACTAAATACAAGAGTTGATCCAAAGAAAAGTTACAAAGGTCTTTGACATTTAAGATTGGGTGTGCCTCAAGGAATTTTTGTAAGCTAAACTTTCTGACAACTTTAAATTCTTCGGCATTAGCTGGTGCTTGATTTTCATCTTCACTTGCGGGCTCTGATTCATCAAGATAAGCTAAGTGCATTTGCATTCTCACGATTTCCTTGGATCGGGTTTTGGACTTCTGGATATCATCCAAGAACTCGGAATCATCCTTGTACTCCATTAATGAAAGTGATATGAACATTTCTTCTAAGAGTTTTCATTCAATTCATGTTTTTAAGAAGTTAGTGAATTAATTTTCATATCTCAGAAATTCGAAAAATAGTTGTTTAACACAAAAATTGATCAAATGCTTCTCTAATTATCTAAATAGCTAAAATTGTAAATTCAAGATATTTGACACAAATTCAATTTTGACGGTTTGAAACAGTGCGTTTATTCTTCCGTTTATTTCTAAAAGCATAGCATTTTTATTAAATATGATTCTAATAATATTTTTGGATTAAACAGATATCTGTGGTCAATTCTATTGATTTTTTTTCCACTCGGAATACATTTTTAAGATATGTAATTTGATCCCACTACTATCAAATGATTAATGCATATAAAAAAAGCAATTACATTTAAAAAAACGAACTATTGAAAAATTGACAGTTGACGGTATAGTTTCAATTTTTTGAATTGATATCGACTATTTTAAAAATGAAACTCTTTTGGAGTTTTTTATGCATCAAAAGGTATTAGTACACACATATATATAAGATCTAGTAATTCGGTTAAGCATTGAAGGTAATTCAAAGGTTTAGATTTTGATATTTGTTTTGTTTGAATACTCTACATGTATATTTAGACTTCATACAAAGTTCCAAAGGTCTATAAACATAGAAAAAATTTAGGATATGGTAATAAATTTGGTTCGTAAAATTGAAAGGAAAATTTTATCTATTCATATATTTAGAACCATCATGTTAAATATATCTATTAATGACTAATATTGCCAAAGGAGAAGGGAAAATTTTATAAAATTTTATCATATTAAGGTATAAAACTATTATTTCCTATATATTTATGAATCAAATAGTAAGATAATCACTCTTTGTTAGACTAAATTAAATGAAAAAAGTCTAAATTGTATGATCGTCTAAACTCAGTATAACCTATACCAAAGCTTATTAATGGCTTATGCAAATATACAGCTGATGTTAGCTTAGTTTTTGACCAAAATACAAAAAAAAATATGAGTACAATATGATCAAATTTTTATAAAAGCAGCCGAAAACAGCATTCAATTGGAATGGTATTATCAATGATAATCATTCAAGACACTTTTATCAAAAAATTTACATAAATCTTTTTCAAAACAGAGTATTTTTGCAAAAATTTCATCGAAAAGATAGCTTTGTCTAATAAAAATGATATGGTACGGAAAATCTATTGAAAATAATCTGAGGAATTTGAAATTCATTAAAAAGTCTTGAAAAAAGTGAATGCATTCATGAATGTCCCATATCCATTTTATCCTAGTTGTTTCATAATTCCATATTGCCGATTCCTATTCTAGTTTTTGGTGCTTTTCTATGATAACCAAATTGATTTGGTTATCATAGAAAAGAGACCATTATAATGCTTAAAATTAATTATGTTTAGGGCCGGTTTATTGGGATAAGGAAGTTTATAATACGTGAACACTTGTTTCCTCATCGAAAAGTCATAACGCATAAAGTCGATGTTTCCTTAGTACAAAAAGTGACATATGACGCTTAACTCTTTATTCCAGATAATGACCATATTTATGGGATTAAAAAGTTTAGGAAGCTTCTCCCCATTAATGATTATCTTAATTCGATTTATTGAATAGTCTCTATGAAATTGATTGAAAAAATAAATAAAAATGTTTATAATTTGAGAAAAATTCTGAGACCAGGTGATGATTGGAACCTTATTATTGTTATGATTCGGCTAAACATGCATAAAATTCCGTGTAATTCACAAAATAACATATCAATGACTAACAATTTACTAAATTTGATATCAAAATCCTTTTATTTCAAAAATTATTTGTACCAAAAGGTATAAATTCTTAAGATACTTATGTTTTTAGTGTATTTTTAAAAGATTTTAAGAAAATTTGCCAATTTCAAATGCATTTCTCACAAAATTTTTGATCTTTAGGCAAAAATCTTACTTTAAAATCATTAAAAACTACGAATAATAAACTGTTATTAAAATAAAACTAGACAATTGTTTAGTTTTGAAATGTCTGAAATTTAATATTCTAATAAGAGTTTATTACATTCTATAATTAGCATTCAAAATAAACAAAAATAAAGTTTTCATTCTTGATTGTATTCATTTCCATTTAGAAAAAAATTCAAATTCAAATTGTATGCTAGAAGATTCAAATCCAAATATGGTATCTATGCCAAATAAAATAAATATATATGGTTTATCATCTCCACTTTCTTACGTGTTTCCTAAACAACAATTCATAAAGAATATGTTGTTTGAAAATAATAACATCAAATCATAGATAAACATTAGTCATAACAGTGCTAGATAGAAATATTTTCAATTTTTTCCTCTCAATTTGAATCGATTCTAAATAGTTAGTAAAAATTTATCATCTAGATTTGAATTCTTTTATATATAATTATCTGGTATAGACCGTGGTTTCCACATAACTCGTACAATCATTGAAATAAATATTTATCAGGCTATGTGTAATAAATAGAATTATAAGAAATAGAGTAATTTTAGTGTCAAAATTATGATAGGACACAATTAATCTAATACAAGATAGAAGAGATTTTAATATCAATGGATAAAAATCTTGAAATTTAAATAAAATCTAGTCGTATAAAATAATACATCCAATATTTGTCAAAAATATAGCACCTAAACATAAGAATACTATAGATGCTTCTTCATAAGCAGGATAAATTGAATAAGTAAATAATGATAACGAACAAAGCCCTAAAAGAAGTATAACAATCGCAAGAAATTTTTGCTCTCTCCAAATATGGATGTAAATATGATCTTTATGCTCTTTTGATCGACGCAAAGCAATAAAACTCGAAATAATAAAGGCAAGGAAGAATAAAATCGTGGATTTAAAGCTGTAACTCGAAAAGACGAATGAATTTCTGCATCTTTCTATGAATCCGGAAATTATTCCAATGAAAATAATCATGGCGAAGCTGGAGATCATCCATACATAGTATCTCGCTTTAGTTTTTTTACCAACAAATGCAGGATTATATCTGGAGTTAATGTACTGCTGGTTGGCAAATCGATATCTTACGTTATCATTCATTTTAAGAATATGATATTTTGATAAAGAAGTTCGCATCAGATTATCCCTCACATTTAATTTGGCCTCACGAATCTAGTTAGTGGAGAGGTCTATTGTATTTTATATTGGGGTTTTTTAAAAATGATGATTTGAATAAAAACAGATATATAATATATTTAGATCAGGTTAAACTTATGTATCTAAAGTATAAACTCCGGTAAATACATTTCATCCGAAAAAAATCAGATTTTTTTTTGAGTTTGATACTAAATTTCTTTTAAAATTATGTTGTTTAAGTAAATATAGCATTTCGATATAATTTTGACCGATTATGTTCTATATTTGAATTTTTCATCATTTCATTTACGGCTAATTTGCATATTATTTGAATAAAGAAGTAACAGGCAAAAGCAGAACATAAAATTTTAACTCAGTTCTGTGAACACTCATCTCGATCGGATAGGTCCAAACATCGAAAATTAAAGTAGAACAAGATCATTTAAGTGCTAATAATCATATAAAAACTAATTTTTCATAAAATCTTTCAGATAATTATTAAATGGAAACAAATTGAAATTCAATTTTTGATTGGATAACCGAAATGAGTTTGGATAAATATTTCATTTTATAAAAATCATTGACGACAAACAGGATATAGTCGAAATTAAATAAATGAACCAGTAAATTATTTTCGTGGTTGGAATTTTTTTCAATATTCTTCAAAATAAATAAACAATACTACATATTAAATTTGAAACTTTTTCTTTTCAGATATTTTGATATTACTTTCAAAATTAAGAACTTTTGAATATTAATAAAAGGATACCACAACAATGATTGAATTTTTAATGGCGCATAAAATATCAATATATACTCAACATATAAATCTTATCCGCCTTTAATCTTAAATTTTGAATAATTTCAAATTAGTGATTTAAAAATATATCTCATACAGAAAGTATCATTTTCATAAATAAATTCAAAATTGCGTGTAAATTATTCAAACATGATGTAATAAAAAGAGATATACTATATCTATAATTGTTTACTTTGGTTCACCTTACGTTTTCAATTTTTCTCAATTTTCAATTTTCAATAATGACCCAAAACACAATGTCAATTCTGACATTTGTTTTCATATTTTTCGCAAATAACTAGTTTGATTTTAATGGTTAACAATTTTTTCAATACATTTAAAAATAAAATGTGCATAAAATGTTCATCACATATATCTACATCTATTTAAAAATTTTCAATTTTTTGTAAAACTTTTTCTTATCAGTCTTCAGAATGAAAGATTCGCGATTGGGAGTTTATTTGATCCAAAATGAAATTGGTCGCGGCGCGACAAGCCGAGTACACACAGCAATCAACACTATCACTAATAAAAAACTTTGCGTTAAAATTTTAGAAAAATCATCATTAGAAACTGCTGAAGACTTTGAGTTTTTTAGACGAGAAGTCGCGATTATTTCTTCTCTCGCCCACAAGAATATTGTTCGATACCATGATCTTATGGAAGATGAATGTTATTATTATCTTTTTCAAGAATTTTGTCCAGGGGTTACACTTACAAAATTTTTAGAAAAGAATAATTTACTATCAGACAGATTGCTGCAGTTAATTTTTCGGCAAATATTTTCTGCACTAGCTTATATGCACAAATTGCACGTTGGTCATCGTGACTTAAAACCGGATAATATATTAATTGACCAAGAATGCAATATAAAGATTGTCGATTTCGGTTTATCTACAGATGATAACACAAAATTAAGAACTACTTTTTGTGGTTCCCTTGCATTTGCTCCACCGGAATGCATCAAAAGGGAACCTTATAACGCTGCTCAGGCCGATATTTGGTCTCTTGGCGTTATGCTTTATATGGCAGCTACAGGAAAGTTGCCGTGGAGAACAACTAATCTTGTTCAAATAATGAAACAAATTACATCTGGTAATTTTAGTATTCCATGTAATGTTTCAAATAACGTTCGTAATATCATAATGATGTGTATGAATCAGAATCCATCTCAGCGCCCAACGGCTGATGAACTCCTTACTTATCCAATAGTTCCTCTAAATGGTGTTCAGAGACCACAGCATGGTACATCTCATTCTCCAAGGAATAAGCAATTAGTCATAGCTAGAACGGCATCTAACCCCTCATTTTCTATTAATAATTCTAGCTCATCTTGTCCGGTGAAACCGCCAACGCCCGAAACTCCAAGGTCTTCTCATAGAAGAATTAGACCAAGATCAAATTCAATTGGAGATTTGGCAACATGCGTTCCTAATACACCATCGAGTTCGATCCTGACTTTCATATAATAGTTAATATTGTATTAAATAAAATGCGAATATTATTTTTTTGTTTACAATATATCAAATTTTATTTCAATTTAATACATTTAGGGACTACGAAGATTAATGCCTTAACGAGTTGGAAAGATGATAAGAAATTAAAATGTTGATCAAAAAATTTGTTTTTTGTATTTCATGAATAATCTATTAATAATTACAATTAAATCAGATAGTTGTATCCAATTTATGTTTCCTTTTGAATTTAGAGAAGCTGTTGTATGAATGCTTATGCATTCATAGCTCCAAAACAAGAACATTGGTCCAATATGAAAACAAAAATATATGTACAAGACAATATTCTCATATTGGAAGACACAGGAGCACAGTCAGGCTTTAAAAAAGCATACTCATTAGATTCAATTTACAACAACTATGACGAGTTATTTGCATCTATCAAGATTGATGGATCTCATAGGATATTCTTGCTATACTCATCATATAGTTTACCTCCATTTCAAGAGTTGAAAAATACGATTATATCGTTTTTTTGCAATTTTTATCAATTCTTTATTTCACCAGTATCTATCAGTATGGCAAGCTACTATGATAAGAATGTTTACGATTATTTGAATCAAAAATACAATAATAACTCATATGAATTATTCTCTACGAGTAACCTTGATCAGGCATTAGATTTGATTGATGTTTCGCTTAGTAATATTAAGAACATAGATAAATCTGTATTCGTTGCTCGAATTGGCAGCAATAATTTTATAGAACTCGTAATTTTACCAAAAGCAGAAACTCTTGTTAGGGAATCAGATATCCTAGACTTATCGCCTAACCTGAAAATGCTGCTATTTCTCAAAAAATCTCCAAAATTGAATCAAAAAACCTTAGAAACAGCATGTAAGGTTTCGCCTTATATTAGACTAATTGCAGATTCTCTAATTAATACGAGAACTTCATGGGTTTGCAACATTATAGAATCTTCACCTTTGATTTCAAATACTGAACTGTTTAGAATATTCCATATAGCGAATGGAACAACATTTTCCAATTTACGCTTGAACGAAAGCATTTTTCACGGTGGAGAAAAAACAGATGAATTTAATTCTCAGATGCTTGAACAAAGACCAGAAAATAACTTATATAGAGGTGATTTGGCTCAACTCGACCCAGAAACAAGGAGAAAAATGTTTCCTAATTTGAAATTTGAATTTAATACTCCAAAACCAAATAAACAACCAAAACAAACCAATAATATCATTCAGAAACCAGAGACTCCCATAAAATCTCGTGAAATACAAATGCCACTCGAAGAAGATGAAGATGTTCAAATTATTGAATCAAATTCACCTAGATCTCCAATATACCCGGTCGAAAGGAACTTAAATATATCCATTGGTGATAATGAATATTCCGGTTTTGACCTTGATTTCGGAAATAACTCTCAATCAAATCTCGGATCTCCATCAAGCTTCAAAAGTGATGACATTAGCTTTACAAGTTCTTTTTCCCGTAGGAAGAAGAAAGTTTCTCAAGAATTAATTTGGCCAGAAAGTTTATTCGAAATTAACGCTCCAGTTAACGTTGATACAGTTGAAAAACTTATTAAGGAGATGAGTACCATCCTACCTGATGTAGCTGAAGAGTCAACTTATGAGTATGAAGAAGATTCTGGAATTGAATCATTTGGAAAGATCGAACAGCTCTCAGAATCAGATTTTAAAGAAGCAGAAGTCACATTGAATTTTGATAGTGAAGATGAATACGATTCAACCGAAGTTTCTCCATTTTCAAATAAATCATCTAAACAAATCAAATCCAGAGACTTACCATCATTAGATACTAAGTCAGAAATATCAGATAAGCCAAAACAAAGTCCAAGTCCCAATAAAGTCATTCCAATTAACTTGGCTGAACTAGAAGACATGAAAAACCAAGTCATAAAAATGCAGGAGAATCCAAAAGTCACTATTGAACATCAAACAGTTAAATTTGTTAATGAACCAAGTGTAATTGCAAGAAGAGCTCGAAATTTAGCATTAGATCCTAATTCTAATGCAGCAGATCTAACTCTAGAATCATTGGATCTACAAAATGAAATCCAAAAAGTTGAGAATTCCCTTGAAGAGTCCAAATCAGAAATAATCTCATTAAATCAAAAGGACCAATGCCTTAAAATGCAAAATGCAACTTTAACAGATAATTTAACTCAACTTCGTGATACATTTATACCATTAAGACAAGCGATTATTACAAAAAGACTTTCAAATGCTAATTTCGATTTCAAGAACTCGCCAAGATGTGTAGAAATGCTTCAATGCATTAGTAGCCTTCAAGATCAGATCAAAAAACTCCAATAGAATATATTTTTTTTTGTTATAAAATATTATTTTGTTTTTCAACTTATATCGGCGAACAGCTGATAATACTATATAATAACTTGATTTTTCACTTTTTGAAAGGAAGTTCAATTACTTGATACAGTAGAACATTTAATTCTATTACAAATTAAACTGTATATTTAATGATCTTGATATGTTATTCTCTATATCTATTAGAGCACTCCGAAATGGAACAATGAAAGGCCACAAAGTTTAACACTGCACAGTCGATGCCTTATTAACGCTTTTCGTGGTACTTGTTTTTAAGGAAGGATTTACCGCATTCTGACATTTTCTCAATTTATGTAAGTTAACTTGCGATTTCACTCCAAAATAAACACATTTATTCTTTTTCTATTTACTATTTTATATGGGTGTGCAATACCAAGTCATAATATTATATCAGATCTGCAAAACAACAAAGTTTTGCTTCACTTTTGTCAAAAAAATCGAGAGCGTGTCAGAAAATTGGTAAGAGCACTCTTAAAAAAAGTTCAAAATAGACAAATTTAATAAAAGGAAAAACAATTTCCTTTTAATATGTTTAGAGGAGATCAAAGAAATAAGGTAATCCCTGAGCGAGTTCCCAAATTCCAAAGCCAGCAATATTCTCTTTATCAATCAATTTCATTCTGACGTCGAGATCTTGAAGTGATGGATAGAACATTTGATGAGAAGACTTAGATCTGCTGTAGAAATATGCTGTTTCATCATAAACCTGGAGATATTTTGGCGAAACCTTTGATTCATTGAGTGTTTGGATGAATTTCATTCCTTCAACGTAAGTTGGTGCATTATTTGAGCCTCCGAAGTCCATTCCGAAGAAAGGAAGGCCAACCATGAATTTCTTACGTGGAATTCCAACTGTCTTGAGCCAATCAATGATCTCTGTGATCGCATTCTTTGGACAAATCGCTGTGGTGCCTGGGATTTCGTATGCTGACATGTAAACTAAATCTGCTTGGTCGGAGATACGTTTTAAGTGTTTTTGAACTAAATCTGTGTATCCTCTGAAAATTACTGGCATTTCACAGAAAACTTTGCCTTTCTTGCGTCCAAAAGCAACTCTGATTTCTTTGATAAGAGCTGGAACAAATTGGCATGTTTGTGGATGCATTACGTACTGAGGAACTTCTAAAAAGATTGCATCCAAATTATATGACTCAATAATGGTAGCCATTTGCTGTCTGAACTCCTGGAAGATTTGCTTGTTGGCTTGGTAGAAAATTTGTGGCTGAATCTGGAAAATTAAGCGTGGAGCGATTAAGGTTTTTGGATGCTTTTGTTTCATTGATTTTAACCAGTTTGTTTCGACAGCATCTGTACCTTTGATAACCAATTTCTTGTCATCGATCTCAGCAAAGAACCAAGTAGGTACAATAATTGTGAATTTTTGGCCGAACTCCTCGGCAAGACGATAACCATCTTTATTCCATGGTGTAACGAAGCCCAATACTTGTTTGCCACGTGCTGAATAGATAGGAGGCTGATTTTCGCTGACTTCATCGTAATTATTAAGGATTTGTTTGATTTCGACTTTACCTTCTGTTATGCCTTTATCAAAAACACTGTCTTCCGTGTAGCTATACATCGGATAGACAAGAGATATTGAAAAAAGATATATAAACATATAAAAAAATTGCTTGCAAAAGTATCAATTTAAGATGAATTTTGAAAACTTTACAAAAAATGAGTGAAGAAGAGAGTGAAGGAGTTTTAGAGGCTTCTTACGAAGTAGAGCGTGTTCTTGGTTCAAAGATGGAAAATGGTACTTTAAAGTATCACGTTAAATGGAAAGGATACGAAATGTCAGAAAATACATGGGAACCAATCATCCACTTGTTAAATGCAAAGCAAGCAATCGTTGAATATGAAAAGACAAGGCGAGCAACAGATACACAAGATAAATACACAACAGTTTTCGAAGTTCAAAATTATCCTTATTCTGTTCTAGTAGTAGAGGACAAAGATCTCGACGAGAGATGTCAAAAAACAGATCCATTCTCATACAAACTGTTTCATTCTCCTGGAAAGGGAAAAGGAAAAGTTTTTACTGGAATTACAAAAGATAAAAACAATAATTTATGTTTAAATACTATAGATAGTAAAAGCAAAGCAGAGGTAATGGACTTCAACACGGCAGCTTTACTTTTTCCAAGAGCAACTGTTTCTTATATTACTAAAAACACTTACAGAAACCCCGACCAGAATACACGATCTGATAAATCAAGATCTGATACTGATGATCCAGATTCATCAAAATCAAAACCAAAATATGTTCAAATAGTTTGAAATACATAACTATTTATATATTTATATTATTGTATGAATAAACAAAAACGAAATCTTCATAATTTACTTATTTTCCAACGAATTTCTCCTCAAATAATTTTGCAATTTGATGAATTTAGATTTTTTTGAGAAAATATATTAACAATAAACATCTTTAACATTAAAACAAAACAATCATACTTTAATATTCCTCCATTTGGCGTATTTACCAGACTTTCCATAAACCATGTAGTTAAGCCGGCCAATTTCTCTCTTTAACGATGCATTTTCTATAAGCAAAGCCTTTCTCCGCTTCTCCTTTTGTGCGTCTGTCATTGTTGCTATTTCATTATATATCATTTGTGTGTTATCCATTAATGATCTTTTAATTGAAGATTTCCTAGAATTATTTGCTGCAGATGTTGCAGTTGTAGCATTGTCATCATTATCATCTATACTTATGTTCTCATTTCCAAATTTAGCAATTGCTTTTTGTTGTTTTTCAATTTGCTGCTTTAATTTTTGAACTGCAGCTTGATGTTGCTTTTGAAGTCTTTCTTTTTCTTCGTTAAATCTGTCTTTTATCTCTTCAACTTGAGAATTTGATAAATTATCTTCATATTCAAATGAATCATCTGAGATATCATCAAACTCATCATCATCAGATGATGATGGAGTGAATGTTTTAGATTCTGCATCAGCAATTTGTTCCTTGATTTTATTAATTTGATTTTCAAGATCTTGGTTATGCTCTTTAAGCTTGAGATTCTGATTTTCTAATTCTTGTACATCTCCAAGGGTTTGTTCAATGAATGGCTGAGATATTGATGATTTAGTTGAATTATCTTGATGTTTAATTCTGTATTTATCCGAATTTATAGATTCAAGAAAAGCATCTACTTCATCAGTTTCTTTTTTATTAGATGATGAGCCTTGTGAGCTTGAGTTAAACATTACGTATTCAATTTCACTTCTTAAACGTTTGACTTGCTCTTGATGATCAAGATTAATTGAATTTATTTCTTTTGCAAAGTCTGTTTTCTTTTGTGTTATTAGTAATTCGTATTTCTGTTCGATTTTAAATTTTTTGAATTTTAGTTTTTGAATTTTTTCTTCAACAGGACCTGTTTTTGTTAAATTTTTGTCTTCAACAACATTAATTTGAGCTTCTAAGTATGCAATTTCATCTTTTAATCTGCCAATTTCGTCATCTTTTAGATTAATTGCTTGTTGTAATCGAAAATGGAGGGCATCAAGTTTTCTTGCTTGAATTCTATCATAATCTTCACGCGCAGTTGACCTTAAATCAAATTCATCTGAGTCTAGCATTATATCTTCAAAAGATTTTGTATTGATAAACGTACAGTTTTTTAGAGCAACATCCTATTTTGATATCATAATAAAGCAACGAGTTTACAAACGTTTTTATGATTTAACAAAGATAGTTTCAAATACACAGTCTGATTTATTATTGAACTCGGAATTTTAACTTGTGTTCTGGATAGTGATCAAAGCATGATCTAGTCATGTTGATTACAAATGCATTCTTGCATTCTTTCGTAATGGATATTCAACTTATATTTGCGATTTTGTGGATTCCGCAATAGTTGACTTAAATAACAAAAATTAAGTATAAAATGCAACTGCAATGGACGAGAGAAATCATTTCAATTGATACATGTTTAATTATTCAGTGCTGAAAGAAATTCAATTTCTCATTTATTGTTAAAAGCCTTTGGAAACATGAAAATAAATCATATATTACAAGATAATGCTATATCATGAATAAATAGATTGATGTGGTAATTAGTTGTTAATCAAATCTTTTAGGATGTTCTTAGATTCCATTCCCGTTTGCAAGCTCAATGCAATTGCTGATGATGTGATGTTTGTTTTTGGAGCGCATCCTCAGAATCCTATCACTCTTATTGATGAAGAAAGTGAATTTATGTTGAGACGAATCAATGAAACAAAATCAGAGGCCAAAACCACAAAAGTAATACGATATAACGAGGTTACAAATACATTTACATTCCTGAAACATATAAATGGCAAAGTTGAAGTCTATTCAGGAAATCCCATCTCAAAATCGGAAATCAAAGCAGTATCTGCCTTCATTTCTAAAGAAACCACGGATCCAGCGTAATAAATTTTAAAATAAAGTTTAATTTCAGAAATAAATATTATTTTTTTTATAAGATCTGTTGATAAGAAAGTGAAACCATAGATTTGCATTCTTTTTGACTCAAGTATTTAAGATAAATGTCCTCATTGACAACAATAAGTTGAATAAAAAAAAATATAATTTTTTTTTCTAAACATTTTATAAAAAATAGAATTAAAAAAGGTCAATTATTCCATTTTCCATGCTTAATCGAATTTTTGAGAACCACGCGGAAACAAAAATAAACAGCTTAAAACTTTGCAGTTCTAACCTCGAGAAGGATCTGTTGAGCCCTTCTTAATGCTTCCACGATCTGTGTGCATGAGATTCTCTTCTTTGTGATTGAAGGATCTTCCTGCATAAGCTGTAAACTGTCAGCTGCATTGAAAACGTCTCTGATCATCTTTGGTCTCAAGTTTTCAGTGGACTTCTGGACAACTAAGCGGATGACTGTCTTCGGGATTATGTCCTTGAGTTGTTCTCTGATAATCTCGAAGTATTCCTGGGCTGAAGCCTGCAATTCCTGCAACTCCTGGCCTTGGTGCTGTGTATAGTTCTTGGAAGAACCGAATAATGTGGAGACAGCAACAGGATCTAAAACAGGTGGACGTGGAGGAAGAGGTCTGGCACGTAAATCCTTGGCCTTTCCGGCGTAGATCCTTTCAGGACCTCTGAAGTCTGGTCGCTTCGAGTTAATGAATGATCTTTCTGAGTCAATAAGATCATTTATGAATTGTTTGCATGGAACAACGCATTCGCGGATGCAATCATCAACAACAGCGCGAATGGAACCTTCAAGAACATTGAATCTGTCGAGTTCCATGAACTTTACTTCGCTATGCATTTCGAACAAAATTTTCACAACGTCATCGATAAGATTGAGCGATGGTTCTCTGAACTGCTCAATAATCTGCTTAACGAGATCATCGTATGCGTAGTCGGGAGTAAAAATTGGTACGGAAATGCCAGTATGATTCTTAATCATGTTGTAGATTTGCTTCGGCTTGCTGTTGGTTAGGCCTGGTAATGCGTCGAGTTCTGCGTTGAATTTATCGGTGAAGAGAGCTGGTATCCTTCCGCCATGAGCAGTTGATTCATCAGTAGATTCGCTGCCGTCTGCGCGCTTTCCGGCGAGGAAATTGTTGAAGATATCGAGGTATTTGGAAATTACGTCTAAGATGAATGCGTTGATTGTTGCGGCGTTTTTAGTTGGATCTGAACCGTATCCTTCAAGTTCGCGTTCCTTTTCTTCGAGCATTGTTTGAATCTTATGGCGTAATGCAGGCATCGTGGTTCTAATGTGCTCCATAAGGAGTCTATTGAGAATTGTAGTAAGGTATTTGGTTCCGCACTTATCTGCAAGGTCGGAATAGTCGCGGTGGTTCTCAAAGAATTCGCGCTCAGCTTGTCTGGCCTTCTCCATGCTGACCTTTGAGTTGATAGCAGCTTGTGATCTATTAACAACGCCAATGTAGCCAAGTTTGAGCGGATATACACGGTTCTCGAGGACGTCTCTGCAATCTGTGCCTGCATCCATGAGATCGATTTTTGTAATAACACCAACTGTTCTATCTCCCTTTGGATCAACATCTCTGGCAAGACGTAAGGCATCAGAGTTGGCAAGATCGGAGTTTGCTGGTGAAACGGCAAGGATAAGGCATTCGGGCTTATCTACGAACTCTTTGACCATATCATAGATTTCCTGGACAATGGACTTTGGCTGTCCTTCAACAGCGTTCTTTGTAAGACCAGGAAGGTCGACAAGTGTAAGGTTTAAAACATTGGGAGACCATAGTTTGAGTCTAATTGGCTCCTTGGAAACGTTCCTTCCAGTTCCAGTAACTCTGTCTGTTTCAGCGATAATTTCATCGTTGATTTTTTGAAAATCGGTGAAAATTTTTCCGGGCTTGTGAGCGAATTCTCCATATTCTTGTGGATCTCCTTTTTGTGGAACTTTGTCTAAGTGAACAAGTTGAAGAATAAGTGGACGTCTTGTAACAATACCAGAACCACGAGGGAGGAAGTCTCTTCCAACGATAGATTCTAATACAGAAGATTTACCAGAGCTTTGGCTGCCTACGACTGCAATCTGTGGAAGAGATATGACATCAGATCCGACAGCTGCAAAAACATCTTGAAGGCTGTTGATAATGGGGATTAAATCCTCCATCGATATTGAATTTTTTCAGAACAATCAATTTTTCAGGTGAAGAACTGATCGAATACCGAATGATAAAAAACTCTTAAAAATAGGAAATACACCTTCCAAAGAGATTTCAAGGCTTATCCTGAAATTTGACAAATGAGAGTAGTATATGTTGAAGGGTTGTGTGACTTTTTTTGTTACGTCTATATATAGATGAAGGTATATTTTCACATCTTCTATATATAGATGATATAAAAATTTTTTCTTACGTTTTTTAAGGGTAAAAAAGGGGGTTGGCGGAGAAAGGGACAGACTAGCCCATTGTCACTTTTTAATTTAGCAAATGAACGCTTATGGAGTGGAGTTTTTGGGTAAATCTGATTTGCTTATAAATGAAATAAAATCAAAAGAAACCATATTGGCATTATATTATGCAAAAATAAATGATCTTACTTAGTACTTTTAAAGTTAATTTCAGAAAAAATTTGACACAATGGTATCCGGCACATACAAGTGGTGTACAACCAAAATATAAGTTGGTTTAAACATATATTGCTATATCTCATGATCTTACTTAGTACTTTTAAAGTTAATTTCAGAAAAAATTTGACACAATGGTATCCGGCACATACAAGTGGTGTACAACCAAAATATAAGTTGGTTTAAACATATATTGCTATATCTCATGATCTTACTTAGTACTTTTAAAGTTAATTTCAGAAAAAATTTGACACAATGGTATCCGGCACATACAAGTGGTGTACAACCAAATCTTCGACTCGATGAACTTGTCATCGAGTTATATTCCAGTGTTGTTCCTTCATTCCTGATTAAGTTGCAAATTAAAGGTCTGGATTCAGAGAGAAGTGTTAAAGTTATCAAAAAAGTCACAAGAGATTTCGAAGAAATGACACAATTTAAAAAAGTCGAATGCATCAGTATGCTTGAAGCTGTTCAGAAAGGTCTGAAAAATGATACACTTGATCCCAACATTGTTTACTCAACATTAAAAATATTATTGCAAAGAAAACATTTGATTTAATAAACATTTAATTTATTATAATTAATTTTTTATTACAGTATAGTAAAAAATGCTATAAATAAATTATTATATTTTATTAAAATGTGACTTTTAATAGTAAGTGAATAAAATAAATCAGGAATTGGGAAAGAAATAAGGTTAATTAAAAATAATGAAAATTACAAGTTTAAGGTTAATGAAAAAGTGACAATGGGCGAGTTTGTCCCCACTCGGGGTTGGCGTCCAAGGCGTCCTAGTGTAAATTTCTCAAAATTGTGATATTTACATCACATTTTTGAGAGGTTTATGGGCGTCCTAAGGGAAAATTGAATAGCTAGGGCGTCCCGAATTTTCATTCTAAGATTTAAATATATTATATACTTAAGTATAATACAAGCAATATAAAAATTAAATTTTTATTATGTTAACTTATAAGAAATTTTTTTGAATTATCGTTGATTTATTGTAATCTTTCCAGGCTATACTTTTGAAATCAACTTTACCTGTCATACGCATTAATGTAGTAGATGTCCAGGTGTAGCTATTATATCCCAGCAACATTGGTATTTTATCATTGTAAGATATCAAAATGAAGCGTTTTTTCAGATATAATTTTTCGTAAATTTTTCAAAAATAAGATGGTAAAAAAGCCTCGACTTGCTCGAAAAATAACAATTTTTTTACTTGTAAAAATAACCCTTTTACAGCATGGGCAGCTATTCAATCACTATTTCTTTTTCTAAAAGTATATTTTTCAAAAAAAATTAAGATCAAATTCGACAATTTCTTGATGAAAGCAAAAATATTACACATACTTCTAGATGCATGGGATAAAATATGCAATTATTCAATCAATTCGCATGATTTGAAAAAAAAATCTAAATTTGATAAAAATGTAGAAATTTTTTATTTTTAACTTGAGATTCGATTTTTTTGATCCAATTTGTGAATTTTTTTTGATCGGAATTTCAATTAATTTGTTGATCAAAAATGACCTCACAATGTTTGATCATAAGTGAAGTCATCTTCATGGGTATTTAGAAATTCCAAGAGAAATTGCTTATTTCTCGCAGATGTAATATCTGAGAAAATCGAATTTAAATATTCATAGAAACCCAAATCATTCTCCGGTTCGAATAATTCATCTGTTGCTTTTTCTGTTTTTTCTATGAATTTTAATAATTTGATTAATAAATCTTCATCAGGAAGAATTATTGCTGCATTTGTGATAAAATTCCATATTGAGGTAATATGGCAATAATTACATTTATAAAATGTAATTTTATCCAAAATTTTTTGGCAAATTCGCATAATAGCATTAATATTTGAAGCTGAGATTAAACCTGTGATTACTTCTGTAACTTTTGGAAAATCATCGCAATTTAATATCTCTTTATATTGAATTGAGAAATAAAAAAAATCAAATGGATTCATTTCTTCAATTTCAAGGAGATTGTAAAAATTGATAGAAGTGTTATTGCAACAAATTGTATTTGCAGCAAAAAATATCATTTGCTCGATTCCATTTTTGGAATAAATTTGCTGGAACAATGTTAAATTAAAACAGTTGCTTAATTTTTCTTCATTGTTTTCATAAAAAAGTAACAAGTTTGCAACTGAAATTTCAAAATTTTGATAATTGCCAGTTATTTCAGTAAATATATATATTTGCTTTTCTTCATCTAAAAATGGCAAATATTGATTTGCAATATTAACTAAAGTTTGGGATAAATTGTTCCAGTTTGATTTTACAATTTGTGAGCACATTATGTAATATGTAAATTTATCCGCTTTGTAGGAATTTAAAATTGTTTGTTGTTCTGTTTCAGTTAAATTACTGAATTTTTCAAGATTAATATTGTGATAAAAAATAGAATCCTTGAAACATTCTGATATCTTTTCAATGTTTAAAACGGATGCTAAAAAATGTAAAAGAACTTCATCAGTCACTGTGATTTTTTTGAAAAATTTATCCCAATTCAAGCATCCAATTGATCTTTCTGTCATTGTACTTATGCATTGATAAAGTTGATTTAATGAATCCGAAGAATAATCATTATGCTTGACTAGTTGAGTTAGTTGATACAGACTGTCGTCAGCCATTTTAAAAAAATGAATAAAATTGTATAGTAAATTATATTTGTGAAATTTGTGACGCTACATTCAATCTAAGACCAATATCTCAAAGAATTCCTCATTTAAGTATTACTTTTCATTGTTTTTTAAAAAATATCTTTGCTTATTTGTTCACTTTTTTGACATTTATTATATGCTTTTTATCATATTTCCGATGATATGAATATATATTCTATATAAGAATGACGCTACATTCAATCTAAGACCAATATCTCAAAGAATTCCTCATTTAAGTATTACTTTTCATTTTTGATTCAATTTTCGAACGGTTTTCGTAAATTTTGCATCATTTCATTTTTTAATGGGAAAATCATCTATATTTAATCAAAAAAGAGCAAACTTTACAGACGAAAATAAAATATTTATCAGGGAACAATCTGATAAATACCAAAAATCAACATCGAGAGATGAAAAAACGAATATAATCAAACAAGTTCTTCAATATTTTAATATTAAATACGCCGAAAATGAATCTAAAGCTGTCAGAAGATATTTTAGTTATATTGCAGTTAAAAATATTCCCGCAGTTACTGGAAAATATCCTGATACAATTGTTCGCAAAGATATGCTTTATTCGCATGATCATACAAATATTATTAATTCAAATAATATTGAACGTTACTACCGTTGCATCGATCATTCTTGTCAAGCACGTTATTTAGTTAAAATTGAGAACAGTTCAGTTTCCGAAGATTTACAAAAGGAACATATACCCGAATGCAGACAATTTAAAAAGTTACAAAATGAAAAAAATGATCTTCATAAATCAATGACTCTGACAGAAATATACAATAAGGCAATGGCAAAATTTTCTGAAGACAACGGCACTTTTCAGCAGATTAAAAAATTTATGACAGAACTTGCTGTTGGTACTGATGAAAACCCATTAATTAAAGATTCATTGGTCAGGGAAGTTTATAATAAGTCCAGAAAATTTTCTGTTGGAGAAAAAATTACAGACGATGAAATTGCTAATTTTTGTTTAATAAATGGCGAGCAGTTTTTCATTGGCCATGATTTTCAAGCAAATTGTGAGACGATGTTTTTTGGTTTTGAGAAGGCAATTCAATTTGCAAAAGAAGCCACAGATTTATTTTGCGATGGAACTTTTAAAATTACACCAAAACATTTTCAAAAAGGACAGATGCTAACAATTATGATTTGTGAACCTTCAACAAATCAATATCTACCACTTTTATTTATATTCATGAAAAACCGCACATTTGAATCTTATAAGAAGGCATTTGAATATATTTTTACTGTCAAGGGTATTCAATTTTCAAAGCTAATTCAAATTCATTGTGATTTTGAAAAGGGAATGATAGAGGCACTTCAACAAATTTTCCCTAAAGTCCGTATAATTGGATGCCTATTTCATTTCAAACAAGCTTTACACAGGAAACTTGTAGCACTTTATACAAAAAATTTCAATACTTTACAAAATTCTTTATTTAAGCTATATTCTATTACTCCATTCATGTCTCATGAAGAATTTGTACTTACAATGCATATAATTAATCAAAATAAAGTTGATTCGATCAAAGATTATATTGATTATTTCAACAAAGTTTGGTTGCCGCACTACAATTTAATATCTCAATATAATAATGCAACTGCAATATTCACTAATGATTGCCTCGAGAGTATGCATTCAGAATTTTCTTCGTTAAAACATCCAAACATTTATGAAGCTATTAAGAAGATATCTCAAATCCAATTAGATAAATATAACGCCATCAAAAATAACCAGAAGATCGAGCGCCATATAAAAACCGTTATCACTGATAGCTACAAAAATTATATTCTTGACTGCTTTCAAAAAGAACTTGAGAAAACAATTTTTTCTATCAAACAATACAACGTAAGT